ACCGCTCTAAGGCAGTAACACTGGATGCCCAGTAGCTCCTTAAGTCGAGATATTAGGATATCGTGGTCAACCGTGTCAGCTATTGCCTATTATACAGCATGCTAACCTTGTCAATAACTTAAGTCATTCTACTGTTAGCTTAGTTATCCTTACTAGCTTGCTACTAATTTATTAGAAAAGCTGGATCTGTGTGATCAACAGCATTGTGTTAAAACGAGGAGCTGCTCACAGTCAGTCCACTGACATGTTTGTGAGAGAGAGACGCAGCATGGTACAAGGAGTGCCTAGAGAATCAATGAACTGCGCACAGCTCAAAGTTGAAATAAGATTTCACACATCTGAAATAGTAAAAAAAAGAAAAGGGAATACTTTTCTCCTTGGGGGAGGGGAGGAGGAGGGTTTGCCTGCTCTGGTTGGCATTTCCAGCTCAGACACTGAGTCCTACAGTGGCTGAATACCTTTAGTGGTCTGGCTAAAGGACACATCCTGGCTGTCGTTCACTCCTCTTCCTCCTCCAACCAGAGAGGGCTTCAGGCGAGGCTCCATGTCCAGCTCGAACTGAAAGCAGAAATCAGGAAACAAGTAGAAACAGGCTGGAGGTCAAGGGCCAGAACAGGTACATCTCAGTTCCTGAGTCTGAGCATTTTGTAGTGATGAGGTCGGTGGTTCAATCCAGACTACTCCTGCCCACAAAACCATTCCTGATGCTCAGCAGGTTATATAGTGGCACTGCATCATCAGTGTGTGATCAACACACACTTTGGACAGAAGTGCGACATAAACGACCACTCAGCATGTATTAACTCCGTCATCACAGAAGTCAATCCATCACTTATGGATATCCTGATTAGAACCCAATAATACTGATTATGTGCCCACATTGAGTCCAGCCTGACACTTAAACATTGATCAAAATGTAAAATTGAATATGTAACTGGTCATAATAACACCTCAATCTTCAGGAACCTCCTGATCTAAAACTACCAAGGTGGAAACAGGACTCAAGTTTTTTTTTAGATGAATCTTACAGGTGTTTCTTAAATGTTAGACACACAGACTCACTGTGTTCATTAATGAAACTGAACCTGTGGCCTTGCTGCTCACCTGCACTGAACGGTTGTCGAACATCTCCACAGTCATCTCCTCTTCATCCTCCTCTTCCTCCTGCAGTGCTGCCAAGCTCAGCCCCACTCCTCCTCCTCCCTCCTCAGCCTCCAGCTCCTCCTGGAGGCCCGAGGAATCATAGTACTGCATGAAGACAGGGGCTCGGCTAGAGTTCCTCTGGATCTCCACCCGCAGGATGCCGTCACGAGGCCACCGCTCCCTCACCGCCTCCAGGCAGTTAATGGGTGAGCGAGAGAAGGCAATGTGGATATAGGCAAGGATGAAGAGGACAAAGAGTGCCTGAGGAGCAGGGAGGGGTTAATACTGTCAAAGACTCATGACAAATGTTACTTAATGACTGGTGAATACTGTAATTGAACTCTGCTATGTCCTGGGATTATGTGTTATCAGCACTTCATGGATTTTTGCTTGTTTGGTGTTGTAGTCTGTTGTGTAAATGGTGACCAAATAGGTTTCCCCCTTGAAGATTAATAATTTTTCACCTATCCATCTATGAAACACCACCAGAACCATTAAGAAAATACTTCTGAAACACTCACACAGCAATCATGAATTTAAAGTGACTATCAGAAACATTTCCATCACATTTCTGTTTCCGCCTTTTCATTCCATTTTATTTGTATCGTGCCAATTCAGAACAACAGTCATCTCAGGGCACTTTATGTAATAAAGTCTGGACCTTACATTATTAAAAGGAAAACCCAACAAAGCCCTCTTGAGCAGCACTTGGTGACAGCGTGTGTGTTCACCCTAGCCAGTTTGTTATGCTAATAGCTGTTTACATGAGTCTGTGGTAATCTGCCCAGTGCAGCAGCGGCACAGGCCGTGGTCTGTGTGTGTGTGTGTGTGTGGGCAGTCTTTTCAGTTGGTTCAGACCCACACTATCATGTTCACCGTTCATGTGTTTGTACCTTTGTCATTGTTTAACACTGAGCAGAGCAGCATTAATGTTAAAACAAAAATGATTTTAAAAAACAGTTTTACGGTCTAGTAGTAGTTCACAGATTTTTTTCAGCAACAATTTTCTAACACGTATAGTTGATTTACCAGAGGCCTGTACCACGAAGCAAATTCAACTTATTCTGGCTGTCTTTGGATTATCTGGCTTCACTGAGCGTTACATTGGCCACCCTGGATAACCAGCACCACATAGCTTGTTATCAGCTGACTCTGTTAAGTCTGGTTTTTCCTGTCAGTCAGTGAGCACGTTCATGTGACAGAAGCCGGGTTGGTAATTATAAGTGACATTGCCAGAACCATGAATGAAGTACTGAATATGAGATGGAGCGGTGATACCCGTGTCAAAAAGTGATGTTTCAGTGAGTGAACTGTGAACAACAGACTGTGGTCACATGACTAGAATAGAATAAGCATTGTTCATCATGGCAGCTGTAGACAATAACTCTGTCATGTTTGCATTAGCACGGAGATGTCTTACATCAAACTAAGCTGCATTAACCAATAACTGCGAAGTGATTTATTTCTGCCTCAGCTGCTCTTTGGCACTAGGTGGACAGGGCAGGCAGCACAACGTTTGAAAAATAGCTGCAAGACGGCACAGAACATCTTTCACAATGTCAAACATGCTGGATTTGTTTTTGGATGGTCTTCTCTTCCCGTCTACTGCCTAGTGCAATGCAGCTTAGTGAGGAAAAGGGAGTGCTTGGTTTGATGCAAGGTGTCTCCCTGCTAATACAAACACAACAGAATCATTGTCATGAGACCAAGAGCACACTGCAATCTAAATCACACTCAGAAAACCATTCATTGTGCAGACCTATTAGAAAGTCCTTTAAACAAGAGCAACCCACGGAAAGCCTGAAACAGCACAACGATACAGCTGCTCTATAAAATATATATTTATTATTGATCACATTACTGTAGACTCTGACCTTGTCGGGATCCAGTAGGAATGATCACTCAGTGTTTGCAATGATCTGACTGGTCAGTGCTCTGAGCTGTTGAACCGATCCTCTGGAGTTAACCTGCTCCAGAGCAGAGCTGCACAGTTACCGTGGTTATCTAGCCGGATTAAAAGTGAACCAGCTTCATGGCACACGAAAACCTGAGCAGAGCTCAAAGTTGGTTGGATAGGCAACTAATCTTGGTTCATGGTACAGACCCCAGGACATTAATAGCTGGTGGACAACAATGGCGATCTACGGCACAGACCAATAAGCTAAACCAGGATCTGGACTCAACTTCAACTTTATTTATCAAGTATGCAAAATAGTGTCGTATCCACACAAAAAAACAAATTAACACATACACAGTCACACACATTCACTGTTGCCATTAAGAGGATGCATGGAATTTGTAGGAAAAACCAGGGGAAATCACTGGCAGCATCCTTTAACAAAGTTAATCAAGTTATTTTTTAGCATCCAACAGGCTCCCATGACCTAAAATTACAAGTGCAGCAGGTGTTTACATCCTGGAAACGTGGTTCAAACCTGCGGCTAAACAACAACACAAAAGCACAACGCAGAGAATTTCTCACCTTGAGCAGGACAAAAAATTCGAAGACTCTCCTGAAGGATGGAGGGAAGAGGCGGGCATATGTGACGGCCATCTTGAAGAATAGGGCGTGGAAGAGGCGGTCTCTGACGTTGATGAGGGGGTTCTGGTTCATGTTGGGATTTCGGATCCTGTTGGGCCCCATGTTGTTGTTGTTCAGGGGGACGTTGTTGTTGTTGTTGGCCTGGTTCTCAGACATGATTTCTGGATCTGGATTACTCACACTGCACAAACAAACTGATTCTAGGTCAGCATGGCTGCCGTCAGGGTCAAACTCTGACCTCAAATCAGATGATGAAGGTCTCTGCCGTCCCAGCTAATTCACTTTGACGTTGAACCTCTTCCCACACACATGAAACTGACAGACAAAAACATGAAGTTATGAGAACTTTAACATGTTGATTATTTAAACAATTTTATAAACAAAGTAGCTAAACTGACTAATTACAAAAAAGTCACAGGATCATTTTTCTTAGAGTCCAAGGCAACTTCAAATGTTCTGTTGTGTTCAACCAACAAACACCCAGAGAGATTCAGTTTAATTTGTTTATAATAATGGAAAGCACAAATTCTGATTTAAGAAAAAAAACTACTTAGTTATCAAAATAACTGCTGATTAATAGTCTCTTGATCAACTAACCAGTCATTTGACTAATTGTTGCAGCTGTTATTACTCAATGTAATAATAATAATAACAGCTGCAACAATTAGTCAAATGACTGGTTAGTTCCATTGTTATAAAAAATGTGTAATCAGTGTAATTTTCAGTTCATTGCTTTTGTTTCAGTAAACAGTATAAAAATTCTACCCAGTATTTTGTTAGTAAATACTAACAGCAGCAGCCAGATACATACAGTCCTGTAACAAGTGCAGTACTTCCCTTTGAAATGTAGTTAATGTCGAAGCAACAAACTAGGCCAAACTGGAAATACTCAAATAAAGTATATTTACTTCATACTGAAGTAATGATGTTTATCTGTGTTATTACTCTTAAACCATGTACAGCACTTTGGTCAACAAATGTTTTTAAATGTGCTTTATAAATAAACTGGCAGTGAAGTGCTCAGCTATTACTTATGCAAAGTACAGCTATGAGACAGGTGTCAAAAGCTATGACTCTGTCCTCTAAGGGCTCTTTCAGACTGCACAAGGTTTGCAGCCCCAAACACTTCCAACTATGTAAGAATGGATTGGGGCGTACTTGCATAGCAAAATGTGTCATTCAAAATTTTGTGCCGTGACTCAAACATGTGTTATTTCCTGCATTTCCAATAGGGGCACTAATGCAAATGCCGTACTTCACTCTACTCTCGTGTCTTTGTTTACAGTGTCCAAAAAAAACAAAAAAAAAAACAGGCTGTACAAAGTTGTTTGTCTTCATCTACATCTTTATGATGTGGCAAACGCACGCCTCTTTTATCTTTTACCGGGAACGATTTAGCAGAAGCAAAATGAAGCACTCCTCTTCGACAGCAACATTCTTTTCTACTGGATAAATCATGTGACCAGATGAGGACCATGGGCCAGTGACTCTTGGCCTCTGTTGTGTGAGGGATTTGTTGCCTATGCCAGCACACAGGGCAGCCAATTCTTATATGGACATAAATACCTGCATGAGTCTTGTGTTTAGAGGTGCATTTATGTGGCTGGTGTAGAGTCTGAAACAGCCCTAACTCACCATCTGTTTATTAAATTAAATAACCTTCTGTGAACATCATCTGCACCTTTACACAGTGTAAGGAGATCAAACAACTGATCAATTACTAAAGTGACAGAACCTTATTTGTCAATTATTCTTTGATAATCAATTCAGTGTTTTCTTAATTTGTCCAGAAAAATTCCAAAATCCAATCATTCCAGTTTCTTCTGTGCATCAGAGTTTGTTTGTTTTTTTTTTCAGTTTTCTATCACAGTAATCAGGATGTTTTGGGCAAAGTAAGACATTTGAACCTATCTCAGACATTCTTGAAAAATATTAGACAAAATAAATAAATTAAGAAAATAAACTGCAGGTTAACTGATAATGGAAATAATCATCAGCCCTACAATAACCTGTGTTTGTCAGTAATACATGTCATCGTGTGCACCTTGATAAACAGTCTGCTGTTTTTTCTTCTGCTATTTTCAGCATACATTAAACATTTAGCTTTTCTTTGTTAACAATTCGATCAAACATTAATTTATTTCTTCTTTATTTATTCTCAAAGGCCAAAGCAACCAGAAAATTATCACCTTTGAGAAGCTGGAACCAGCAAATACTTCATATTTCAGTGAACAACATGATGGCAGAGAGATCTTTGATCAGTTGATTAAGCTCAAATGTGACTATTTTCTCTGACATGAAGCTGAAGAGCTGTCAGACGGAACACGGACACGCCACCTGTGGGTTTTCAGAACCGTGAGAGGCCAATGATACGTTGCTTAAGCAATGAGACCAAATGATCGTTAGAAATAAATCGACCTGTCAGCGGATTATTTCTGTCTCACGTGGCTCATGTCAGGCAGCAGAAATCATGTCAATCTTCAGATGAAACCTCAGCTATGTGTTTTACTTTGTAGAGACAGAAGTGATTCTGCTTGTTTCGGGGCCTACAGCTAACGTTAGCTTCGCATTGGCTTTACATTAGCATGTCTTGTTACCTGTCTTACCTGTTACTTGCTCCGCAGCTGTGTGTCCATGCTGTCTCCTCCTGTTTTATCAGAGCAAACAAACAGACTAATAGCACAAGTAACTAGCTGTTAGCAGAGTCAGAAGACAGCGCTAGCGGAGGCTAGCAGCTAAAGCTACTCAAACGTTACAGGTGTTAACTGGCAGTTAAATGTTCCTGGGCTGTGTGTGGCGTCATTTCAGTTTGACACAACAAAACGACTGCATGTAGTCAATTTGGGTGTTAAAGATGAACGGACATAGGTAACACAAGCTAAAAGAAGTTACCAGGAGACTGACGACTGCTGTTCAGAGACGGAACCTCAACCACACCGGAAATACGGGTCCTATGCCCAGGAAGGTAAGTTTTTTTTTTTTTTTTAATTGAGCATCATATTTACTGACATGCAAAGCAGTGACCGCTATATACAAAACCCACAAGGGACTGAGCAACAAATCACACACAGATTAATATCTGGGAAAAAACATATATAACCAGGGGGTTAGGGTAAATCAAATTGACTGATGACAAATAAAAGATTTTGGGCTCCTTTACCACTCATGCAATCCAGGGATTTCTTAAATGCGGACATTTCATACCTAAAGGCTGCTAAACAAGGTCGCCTTTTACTCCATTTGCATTTATGAATGTAATATTTTGTCTGAATATTTTGTCAACCTTTTTTTTCTTTCAAAAACACTAAATTTGGTGTTTTCTAAAGTAAAAGGTGCTAAGAAGTTTATTTTGGACCTGAGCTAGTCATTTAAACAAAAGTTAAATGCAAAATGACAATAAAAATTAATAAAAATACTCCGTGGTCTCTGCATCAGAGTTACAAAAGTCACAGTAGTTATTATCCATGTAAAATATGATGAAATATCAAAAATCATAAGAATTCTTTAGAGAGGTAGAATTCATTCAACATCTTGAATGCACCTCTTTAGCTTTAGGAATTATGAGGAACAAGATGTACTTCTTCCTTTTTTCACAACCCAGATGGCCTGAAAGATACATACTTTCACCTTAGAGATGAAGATTAACATAAAGGAGTTAGAACATTGCTCATCAACCACATTTATATTGTTGATCTTTAAAGGACATAGTATTGAATTGACCAAAAAATACAAACTATCCTGTGACACCATCTGTTTAAGCGGTGTGGTGGTTAGAGCTGTCACTTCACAGTAAGCAGGTTCTAAGTTCGAACCTGGGACCTTTCTGTGTGGCATTCGCATGTTCTCTAGCTTCCTCCCACAGTCCAAAGACACGATTGGTGACTCTAAATTGCCCCTAGGAATGTGTGTGGTTGTTTGTCTACATGTCAGCCCTGTGTCTTGAGCAGCAGAAAATGAGAGGTCAGAATTAATCCAACTGATGAGAAACAGTTCATTCATTTTGTTGGCTAGAGAACATAGATTTGGGTGGATGGGAGCAGTGTACAATTACCCGATCGGGTACAGTTACCCTTTCTAGAGCTACTTAACCAGGACACACACACACTTTCCCTGCCTGCATCTTCTGGTCATGGAGTGTGTAAAAGAAACTTATAGTAAAATAATAATAACCACGTTGGTGCAAAAGTTTGCATCGCCCTTTATTAAATGTTCTCTAATACTCTGTATGTCCTCTCTAACCTACTCTAACCCCTTTGGGTTCCCTCTGAGCAGCACTTAGATCCTTTCAGGTGTAATTTTAGCCCGTTCTTCATGGCAGATGTGTTCCAAGTCTATCAGATTGCTTGGTTGTCTGCTATGTACTAGCTGAATATGCATTAAATATTATATTGCTGATAGAAATATTCTGTTTTACTCTTTTTGCCATTTCAATGTAAAGGGATGTAAATTTTTGCACCCAACTGTAGGTCCTTCAGAATAAAAGAATCGCACTGACCTAGATCCCTCAGACTAAAATACTCACCATGATTTAGTCCTTTAAAATAAAAGAATTAAAATATGGAAATACACTCATGCTATTAAAATGATAAAAGAATATACACACTCATGGTTGCTGTTGCCACGGCAATGCACAGTGGTTGAATCACCTTCAGGAAGTAAAGGCAGGAGTGGGAGGTGTGTGTGTGTGTGTGTGTGTGTGTGTGTGTGTGTGTGCATAATGGCCGTCTTTGTGAGGACCAAAGTCTTGGACCTTCATATTGAGAGTTCAGACCGGGTTTTGAGGTTCAGATTAAACCAGTGGAGAAGTGTCTAATAACAGTGATGCCCTGTGGCCACCAGGGGCTATTGGATTTATTATATTTAAAAAGTTTGTATTATGTTAATATATATGTATATATTTAATTGATAAAATAAAGAATTTTTTTCATTTTATTATGGTAACTTATTTAAATGCCTTTCATATTGAACAGTCATTCTAATTTTATTAGGTGGTTGAGGTGCCAACATGTTTTACCTCCATCTCTGTTCTGCCAGGTCTCCTGTCTGTATCAATGTCACTAACACATAAAAACAAAATACCAAAAATAAAATAAAATAAAATATCTCACCACTAGATGGAGTTTGACATTTGTAATAAAACTGTAGATTTCCATGTTTTCTGGGGACTTTCCAAGGCAAAATGTCCCTGAGTTTTCTTCCAAAGAACAAATGAAAAACATGTACATTTATCACATGGGGAAAAAAATCACCTACAGTAAAAAATTATCCAATAATTCAAACAGAAGCCATCACTTATTAAAAACAAGTGAATTACCGACATAATATCATATTAAACATTCACATTAACTTTATACACAGAGTATTTCATGTTTTGTTTTTGCATGTACAGATACGCAAACACTATAAATACAGCTGTGATTGCTTTCCTCCTGCTCATTACTATAAAATTGATAATTACTGTTTTCTGCTGAGACTGATGTTTGTTAAAATACATTAATATAAATGTAGCTGACTTTTTGTAACTATAAACAAGTCTAATAAACAATCAAACACCAACCAGAATGAAAACTGTGTCTTATCTCAGCATCCTCCATCAACACTGTTGCCGTGGAAACTGCATAATGAGCCTGAAGGTGCAGGACTTCACGCAGTGTGTGTGTTATTGTCTTCCTATTATTGTGAGGACACATTTTAGCTGGGAACCATTATTGATAGGACATTTCTTCACTGTGAGGACAGCTTTGTGTTGCGAGGATATGTGTTCCAGTCCTCACATCTTTAAAGGCCTGTTGAGGGTTCAGACCTGGTTTTATGGTTCCGGTTAGAATCAAGTTTAGGGGAAGAGTCGGGGTTGAGTGTCACTGACTGAAGCTGACCTGGCACTGTCACAGGAAACGAATGAGACTCTGCAGAGAAGCTTTGAAGCCACAGACTGGTATATACACTGTGACCCCCATGAAGACTACATTGATTCCATGACACACTGTGTTACAGAGTACATAAATGTCTGTGTGGACAACACCATCCCCACTGACAGTGCACTGCTTTTCTAACAATAAGCCCTGGATCACCAGAGGCTTGGAGGAGCTGCTCAACAAGAACACAGAGACCTTCTGCAGAGCGTGCAGGGGGAAATAAAAGTGAGACCCTGGGAAAACAAAGACACTTACAGGAGGAAGCCGGAAGAAAGACAAAGGATGCTACAGAAAGTTTTTACTGCCGACTGTGATCACACTCATTCCCTGTGGAGATTAACTACATGACATACTACATGACTTTATATATGTGTAGAAACAGATTTTAAATAACACTGAGGCTCAAGAACAAGTTTTAATGTCGAGCACAGAGCATGCAGCATCCTTCAGTCTGAAACTGTTTCAAATATACTTTGAACAATTAAGCTCTTTTTATAGCTGCAGTTTTTTCTTTTTACACTTTGAGTCACAAAATGTACAGATTCAAAGAAAAACAATGTTTTTACAATCAAATGAAAATGCTGATAGTGGTCATCAGTCTTTTCAGTTCTCAGGATTTAAAAACTGAGATGAACAGGATGTTTGCCTGATATACAATCAAACGCATGCAGACACATTAACAGCAGGGACAGTACTGGTTCATCAATATATCAGTATTTACAGATATGCTCCCTGACCTGGTTTCAGAGCCCAGGGGACGCTTTGTCTCTGTAACAGAGCAACTGTTGCATTTCTGAGTTGCTGTTTTATTTCTATGACAGAGTAAAACAATCAAATAATTGTTTGTCACACGAGAATCTTCGCAAACTTGATCCAATCACATTATCACTAGTAGTTTTACTATAAAGTTAAACTCATGACTCTTCAAAATGGTACAGCTTTATTTTAAAAAATGACCTTATCAGTACGCTTCAACTAAATCATTTGTACAATTTTTTTGACTGACATACAGTATTTATAGTGATTATTTTCCTCAAATCATCCTTGTTTTCTTTATAAATGCTGACAAAAACAAAGAATTCTTAAATAAATGACCAAAACGCAACCAGTATAGTAATTTGGCACACTAACCAACTGCGTGCTAGACTGGCCTGTATCCATATAATAACAGAACCTATTGATTATCAGTCATTTTACATAAACCTGTTGACATTTTAGAATGTGTGAGTACTGAAACAACATCAGTGAGTGAATCTTCAAATTCTGAATATTCATATCTTTAGAAATATTTAATCTCGTACCAGGCCATCCTTAATAGATACACATTCACACACAAACTCGCCTTCTTGAGTGCAGCACACAAGCAAACATGCTGAGAATCACAACAGGAAGGCAACAACACATTTGTCCAGCTAATTTACAATCGGCGTTGGCTCCTCCAACATGGCTGCAAGCACATGCACAGTGGATACATCTCAATTCCCTTAATTGCATCCACATTTCCCTCACTTCTGTCTTAGTCCAACCCACATAAGATGCAAGGAAACACGCTATTTATGACATGAGATGTCCTTTACCTTAGCCTTGGAATGTCCTTCAAGATGGTGGAGTGAGGTCGAGTGAGGACTGAGGAGCAATCAAAAAAGGGAAATGAGATATAGCCATAGTCTGACTGCAGCTCATAGCGGTTGGTGTTGGAGCTTCACTGTAGGTTTCAGGTTTGTTACGTTCGTGCTTCCAGCATGGATCTTTAAGATTATTCACAACACACTGGCCACAGAAACTCTGCGGCTTCCTGCTCAGAGGCTCAAGACTGCAGAAGAAGGTGATCCATCGGTCTCAGCATCACCCTCACCTACATCACCTCCCCCGTAGAGCATCAGTGCCCACCCTACAGCATTTTCCACAGGTTAAAATCTACATTTAAAAATCATTTTTTTATCCAAGTGTTTTCATTGACATGGTGTTTTGGTTGTTCTGAGCACTTGTTTCAAGTGAAATGTGCTAAAAATGAATGTATTGTTATTACAGATATAAATATTGGACAGATCAGTCCTGAATGCTGAGACTCTGCAGTGATACCTAAGTCTTTTAAGTTGAGATCGTTGAGCCACCGAGCATCAGCCTGAGCCTCCTCCATCTCCATCATGTTAGGCTGAAGAGATGCAGAGCAACACGGTCATCACATGTCCAGGTGCTGTGCTGTTAGGGACACTTTTAAAATAACGCCTTTGTTTTGAAAGATTAGAGACTATTCCTTGAACCTTCGTCCCTGCAGACTTTTATAATAGTTCTGCTGTTCAGTCTGGTTGCGAATCTCCCGATCCAACAGAACGAGAGCTGTCTTACGTCTCATGGCCATCTCCCTGCGCTGAGCTTCTGCTGACAGCTCCACCTGTGGGTGAGGAGGGGATGGGGCCAGGTCGGGCTCATTGGTGGCGCACGGCGATCTGGATCGATGGGGCCGGAAGCTGCTGCCACGAGCAGCCGAGTTTCCTCGGTTCAGGCTGTTGAGGTCATAGGTGTCTCGTGGGTCACCCCCATTGGACGCCCCCGCCCATTCCCATGGGTTACTGTTACCTGTAGGGGGTGGAGCCTGATGAGAGGAGGGGGCTTGAATAACAGGATGGCTGGGGGAGTGGGCATCCACTGCAGTGATACCAGATCCTTCCCGCTGCTCGGAGAGGGAGCAGTAGTGCGGTGAGTCAGCAGCAGAAGAGGTGCCAGAGCAGGTGGAGGTGCTCTCAGAGGACTTCTCCCTGGAGGAGGAGGAGGAGGGGAGAAGACCCTGCTGCTTTGACATAGCAATGACCTGCATCAGTCGTGGCTGGTTGGCAGTACCGCGGGCAGACCCCTCCCCGCTCGTCTTCTCCCGGATAGCGAGCCACTTGGCCCGTGTCAAGGCGCTTTTTGGGGACACTGGTGGAGGTCCTGCTTCAGGGATCTGTGGCGGCCTAGGGGTTGCCACAGCTTTAGGGCCCCCTGGAGGTGGAGTGGAGTTGCGACTAGAGGGTGCCCTCCCAGACTGCACCGTGGGCTGGTAGATGGGGACCTGAGAGCCCCCATCTTCAGTGCCGACAGAGCCGACCTCTGAGTTGTCACTGGGCTCATGCTCCACCTCATCCCAGGGGCTCAGGCCTCTCATCTCCACTGACTTCTGCTTCCACTCTGACACTAGCTGCTGTGACCTCATCGGGTCCATGGGAACCTGCACAGCCTTCAGACGCCGCTGTGCTGGCTGCACCGACTGAACTGACTGAACCAGATCCTCTGCCCCATCGCTGGCCCCCAGCACCCCATTAGCATTCATGCTAGCCCTTGGCAGTGTGTTGCTGAAGGTCAGCATGGTCTCCTTCCCCATGGGGCTGCGTGGAGCCAGCAGCTCCACGTCCACACTGGCCCTCTTCAGGCTTTCCATGGAGCCCTTCTCCCTTTGCAGAGGCCCCAGGCCCTCCAGCTTGTTCATGGGGGCCGGAGCCACCGCTATCTCATCATTACTCTCTGAGGCAGAGGCGGGACCCTTGTTATAGACAGACTCATGTCCTCGCTCCGTCAGTGCTCGAAGAGGGTCCTCCTTCAGGGGTGGGGGAGGCAAGGCTGGCATGATGTCATCAGAGGATTTGAAGTTAGCGACAGCATGAAAAGCCTTAAGGAGGGAAATCAGAGTGTGTTAGAAAGCTAAAAATCTGTTGCTCAGATGAGAAATGTCTCTAAACAGCAACAGAACACTGAGAACTACCAATAAACTGGACCGATGCAGCTCAGACGGTTTCATCTGCTCCTACAAAAACTTTTTATGTCAGGTCTGGTTTCCACTAATAAACTCATAGAACAACACGTGATCAACTGCACTTGACATACATTATTTTTCTAAGTTCTTTGTTGGTGAAACTGAGCAAACAATAACAGACAGGACAGTTTCTAAAAATCAGGCATTCAGTCATTATTGGTTGTGACTGATTCAGAGTGGGTTTGGGGGGTGTTGACCTTTTTTTTAATAAAGTCATTTTAGTAGCTGTCATTGCCCTGAAAGGTTCTGTGACTGTGGTCTAAGAGAGACACACTGATATTGAAATGATTTGGCTACTGTTATTTTGAGGTCCTTGTCACAGAGGTGCAGGTCCAGTGACTCAGTCTGTGCTCTTTTAAACTGACGCCTTCATCGTGACAACAGAAACAAGATGTTCTCAAATTCCACCACCAATTCCAAAATGCTTGGCATGCTGTGTAAATTGTAAATAAAAACTGAATGAAATGTTTATATATTTTCCATCAATCCCTTATCTTATCCTTATCCACTTATCCTGAATAGGGTCACTGGGGGGGCCGGAGCCAATCCCAGCTGACACTGGGTGAGAGGCGGGGTCCACCCTGGGCAGGTCGCTGGTCTGTCACAGGGCTGACATGTATACAGTTATATTTTGCTTTAGTTAAGTTTATTGTAAATTTGATGCCAGTAGCATGTTCATAAAAGTTAGGACAAGGGCAACAAAAAACAGGAAAGTTGTATAATGCTCAAAAAATCCATGGTAGAACATCACAGCACCCGAGGTTGCCTAGCCACAGGTCAGCATGGTGGCTGGATATAAAAGGAGCATCTCAGAGAGGCTGAGTGTGTCAGAGGTAAGGAAGGATGGGAGGGTCGCCACTCTGTGTGGCAAACAGCTCAACAACGTAAGACTGTCATTTCTCAGTGGTGTCCTCATCATCTATGATAGACAGCCTCATTACAAGACTCTGAATCTGGAGAAACCTCTGTAAGCCAGGGACAAGGCTGAAAACAGTATGGAAGGGTCGCGATCTTGTGGCCCTGCATTAAACACAAACATGATTGTGCAGTGACATCACGGCGTGGGCTCAGCGACACCTCTGAAAACCACTGCCAGTGAACACAGTAGTCAGCGCAGCCACACATGCAAGTTACAGCCCTATCATGCAAAGAAACAACCTTATATAAACAGGACCCAGACACTCCACCACCTTCTCTGGGCTCCAGGTTATTTAAGGTGGACTGCGGTGACATGGAAACTTGGTTGCGGTGTGACGAGCCAGAATCCACTTATTGGAAATCATGGACATTGCGTCCCCCAGGCTAAAGAGGAGAGGGTCCAACCGGCTTGTTGCCAGCGTCCGTGATGGAGTTGGGAGCATTAGTGGCATGGCATTGGTAACTGCACATCTGTGAAGACACCAAAAATGCTGAATGATACATACAGGTTTTGGAGCAACTTGTGCTGCCCCCGGACGCCGTCTTTTCACCGTCAGCCAAACCGCATTCTGCTCATAGCATGGCTCCATAATGAGAGCCTAGGGGCTAAACTGGCCCACCTGCAGTCCACTCCTGTCTGTCACTGAAAACATCTGGTGCATTATGAAGTGAAACACAGGACAAAGGAGGCCACAAAATGTGAAGCAGCTGAAACCCTGCATCAAGCAGAAACAAGAAAACATTTCTCTTCCAGAACTAAAGCCGTTGGTCTCCTCGGTTCCCAAGCGCCTGCAGAGTGTTGGAAGGGTTGATGCAGCACAGTGGGAGACATGCCCCTGTCCCAGCTTTCTGAAACATGCTGCTGGCATCAAATTTAAAATGAGCATGTTTTTTTTTAAACAACAAAATGTCTCAGTTTCAATATTTGATATGTTGCCTTTGTTCTATTTTCACTAAACATGAGTTTTCAAAGACTTCCACATCATTCAATGTTTATTTATAATTTTCACAGCTTAACAACTTTTGTGGAATTGGGTTTGTAAATCCAAAATTCTTCAAACATTTAATCTTCTCTAACATGTTTCAGACCTCACCAGATAGGCAGCGATAAAGGCTCCAATGAGGAAGCCCACGTAAACGTCGATGGGATGGCTGCGATGCTGGGTGATCTGAGTTAGACCCGTTAACACCGCTGCGATTGCAAATGCAAAAACCAAGACGGGTTTCAGCAGCTTGGTGCTGTCTGAGATGGTCGAGTTAAAATACATCTGAAAGAGATGAGAGAAGCAATTACTTTTGTTACAGCAAATAAGAGAAGTTTCCTAATGGCAACAAACTCATGAGCTTTACATCAGTGGTGGGATTACTTAAGTATTTGTGATGTGCATAACAAAAACTGAATTTACTGAACACATGGGTGTTAGAGCTCATGATTTTCACAATAAAAGACTTTAGACTGGTCTCAGTGGTATAAATTTACTAATTTCTATGGAGTCAGCTGCTGAGTTGTTTTAAGAAATATTGGCTCCGGGATGTTTAATTTGACTATTTGAAAAACAATGTTCCCATGTACATGCTGCAGTTTTCTCTGATCTTGAGATGTATTCCGAGACAGGTTTATATCCTGCTTTATGTCCACACCTGTCATTGTTCTTACACCAAGGACGCTCCAGAAACAGATCTTTGATCTCACTGATATTTTTCTGATTAAATAAAAATGTCTAACATTCATCCCATCAATGATAAGTGCCACTGATCAGATGTTTGACAGATGGCATTTTCCATTTACCTTAAAAAAAAAAAAAAATTCACATTTAAATCATAGACTGATGGCAATCACATCTGATCAATACAAATGATCAACACCTCTGTGACCCCTGACAGCAGGGTTTACTCTCAGTCATACTCACAGAAATATAAACAGCAGCGAAGGCCGACAGAGTTGCATGCTGGGAAGGAAACGTTTTCCTGTGAGGACAGAAGAAAGAGCAGAGTCAGACAGATGGCCAGACAGGAAGTTTAAACTTCTTGTGGGAAGTAAAGGGTGTCACCTGGCAGACAGGATGGCATGCTGGTCATGACCAGAACAGATGTCTTTTGTGATGTATGGGTTTTTATCACATGACACGCCAGCCTGAGTGTAGTTTGGTTTGCACACGGTGAGGAAGAATGGGGCGTGGTAACCTGTCGACAACTGGATGATGTCGGTGACCAGAGCCGTTGCACAGAGCCCGAACACATGCACACCTGGAAAGGGACAGTTAAACATGCATCAGTTCCTAGAGAAAGACAGGTAAACACACACCAACACCTGGAGAGACAGGTAAACGCGCACCAACACCTGGAGAGTGACAGGTAAATGCGCACCAACACCTGGAGAGAGACAGGTAAACGCGCACCAACATCTGGAGAGAGACAGGTAAATGCGCACCAACACCTGGAGAGTGACAGGTAAACATGTACATCAACACCTGGAGAGAGACAGGTAAACGCGCACCAACACCTGGAGAGAGACGGGTAAACATGTACATCAACACCTGGAGAGAGACGGGTAAACATGTACATCAACACCTGGAGAGAGACAGGTAAACGCGCACCAACACCTGGAGAGTGACAGGTAAACGCGCACCAACACCTGGAGAGAGACAGGTAAACCTGTACATCAACACGTGGAGAGAGGCAGGTAAACACGTACATCAACACGTGGAGAGAGACAGGTAAACATGTACATCAACACCTGGAGAGAGACAGGTAAATGTGTACCAGCACCTGGAGAGAGACAGGTAAACCTGTACATCAACACGTGGAGAGAGGCAGGTAAACACGTACATCAACACGTGGAGAGAGACAGGTAAACATGTACATCAACACCTGGAGAGAGACAGGTAAATGTGTACCAGCACCTGGAGAGAGACAGGTAAACCTGTACATCAACACGTGGAGAGAGGCAGGTAAACACGTACATCAACACGTGGAGAGAGACAGGTAAACATGTACATCAACACCTGGAGAGAGACAGGTAAATGTGTACCAGCACCTGGAGAGAGACAGGTAAACCTGTACATCAACACGTGGAGAGAGGCAGGTAAACACGTACATCAACACGTGGAGAGAGACAGGTAAACGTGTACATCAACACGTGGAGAGAGACAGGTAAACATGTACATCAACACCTGGAGAGAGACAGGTAAATGTGTACCAGCACCTGGAGAGAGACAGGTAAACCTGTACATCAACACGTGGAGAGAGGCAGGTAAACACGTACATCAACACGTGGAGAGAGACAGGTAAACGTGTCAACACGTGGAGAAAACGTGTACATCAACACGTGGAGAGAGACAGGTAAACGTGTACATCAACACCTGTCTATGCATTGGTTGCATATGTGTTGGCTGTCTACATGTTGGTTGTCTATGTTGCCCCACTCGTACCTACGAAACGGACCGTCCTCCTCAAGAAGGAGTTGAAGTTGCAGCCGCCTGCGTTGATGCTGCCTTCGGCTCTGCGGAGCTTCAGTCTGGACTGCAGGCAGTAGATCAGCCCTTCCACCAACATGATCTAAAACATAGCAGAATGTTTGAAGCTGAAACACTCTGTAGCCTCTTCGTGAGGCTGAAAATGACAAATCGTTACCGAAGCAGCGGGTCCAGCAAATGCGAGGCTCAGCAACATCAGCAGAGGGATCAGTTCGTCTCCTCCATCCACATACGGCATGCTGAGGTCCCTGTCATGGCAACGGAAACCCACCTGAGCCGGCTGCACCACGTCAGTCAACTCCAGGAAGTAAAGAGATACCATAGAAGAAGCCACGATGGGCAGCTGCACACAGACACCACAGTGATTATGTATCAGACCTGTCTCCATACTGAGGACATGCCGTGTTCTTGTGCATTAAGCCAGTTCTTTAACAAATCTGTTTCTGAGTTTGTCTGCGCCCAGACTAAACCTGACCTCTATTAAATCAGCAGACCACTCCTCACTAGGTGCTTCTGGGATGCACTTTGTTGTTTAACTGAAAACAGTCCAAGATGAACAGATTTAAATGAAGTTTTTAGTACAAATTCAGCAACACGGGAGCCAGTGAGTGTTTGTAACAATCAGACACTTTCACATAAAATATTCCCTCAGAGGAGATAAACAGATGGAGGTCTGAGCTGAAAATAGCTCCATCTGCTGCTGGACTTTGACCACTGATATGACGTCAAAGCTATCAGACCTCCACACTCTCAAATCATCTGTCTGTGCTCAGCTGTTCTTTTTTTTTTTTTTTGTTATATCAAGTTTTATCTTGTTCAGTTTGACATTTTATTAGTTTCATCATTCACTGCCCACTGTCTGTATTTATTGTTTAGACTGACGGTGTTTTACTTCTCAGCTCCCAGTCACCTATAGAGCATGTTACGTTGCACTAATCTGTATGAAAGATGCTTGCAAATAAAGTTTGTTGTATTGATTTACCTATTAATAATGTTCCAATTAAAGCAGTGAACTGATAACTTACACCCTGGGGTTTCATATCATGAAAACTATCTGTTATTTTATAAATCAATCCAAGCACATATTAATATATCAAAACATCTGTTGATTAATCTTACATTTGGACCTTAATTGAAAAACATTATTCATTTGAACCAAATATCATTTCATTATTTTGTCCTAAATCTAATTACTAAACCTGTCAAATACCCAAATGTTAAATGAGAATGAAATTTAAAATCTCATTAATTAGCAGCTGACAAAGATCTAACAGCACCAGTGACTGCGACAAAACAAGAAACAAACAAACAAAAGGAGGCGGGGGCAGGAAAAGGTCAAACAGTTGCCTGCATGGATGTATGAAAGAAAAGTGGATCACAAGACCCAGTTCATTCATCTGAATGTTGCTCAGTGGGTCATACTTAGAAGACATTCTTCATGTTTAAGTATTAGGGTTATGGTAGTAACAGAGTTTGGCCACTTTGACAAAACCACTTCACGGCACCGTTCATGAGGGGTCAGTGGTTTGTGCAGCAGCCTAACAACAGATAGGAGCTCAGGTGACACAAAGGTTCGGGGGATGGGTGGGTTGGTACAACACTGGAGACTACGGTTTGTCAGCGTGACGCAACCATGGTCATCTCATAACGTTAACCACATGTACATTATTGTAACCATAACAATGAAGGTCAGGGGACGCTCCTGTTGGTTGTGTCCGAAGTTAGGTACCACCTAGTGGATCAGGCTGGAGAGTGAATCTTCCTCTCACCTCCACAAAGTAGAAGCAGGGCAGAAGAGTCAGGCTGTCCTTCGGAGGTTTCCTCTTCATCCTCTCTGGGGAGTTCATCATCATTGTCACAACCAACCTGTAACACATTCAAGGCTTTATTTAACTCTGCTGAGGACGCTAACAGTGTCTACAGGACGCTAAGTACATTTACTCAAGTACTGTACTTAAGTATAATTTTGAGGTATCTGTTACTTCATACTTTGACTTCACTACATTTTAGAGGCAGATGTACTTTTTACTCCACTACATTAATTTTATAACTCTAGTGGCGGCAAATTCACAAACTACCCAGCAGTACTTAAAATTAAATGCATATAAGCCAGTTAAAACTAGCTCCCTCTTTACCAGCTACAACATTAAATGTGACGTACAGAATAATGCATCAGTTATTATTATACAATATTATATACAGGAACGTGAAACATGCCATTCTGCAGAATGGGTAGTTTTACTTTTAGTATTTTAAGTATGCTTTGATCATAATCCTTTTGTACATTTAGTAACATTTTGAATGCAAGACTTTTACTTGTAACAGAGTATTTTACGCTTCTACTTTCACTGTAAAGTATCAGAGTACGTCTTCCACCACTGCTCCCTGGCAACCAGGAGCCACCAGGTCTCTGACTGGGTCAGTTTAAACAAGTGGAAACAGAACAGGAGTAAAACTCCATCCTTTAACAATGAGCATTGTAACATTGTAATATGAGGACAAGCTGTACTTGAATTCCTCCTGCTGGTGCTGTTACCTTCACTGCTGCTCCATTCTCACACATGCACAAACTGGAACCTTCACCACATGTTAAGTTTTATATTGCAGTTCTTCTTCTAGTAGTACAGGTACTCACAACTTTACTTCAGTAAAGGTACCAACACCTTAGTGTGAAAGTAGGCCACCCTGTGACACATGAACGTACTGCATTACTTCTGTAAAGATACTTGAGTAAATGTACTTAGTTACTTTCCATTGCCGGATAATAGTCTGATACACAGCAGATCATCATCATCATCATGAGCTGAGTGGGGTGACACCCTGACACGGACACCTTTATTCCTAAAAACCACAAGGATCCAGAACCAAGACCTGCCAGTCCGACCAATCAGAGCACAGGGATCTTACATGTTCTGTCGTAAAGGAGCAACGCTGCACATGCACACACACGCGCGCGCAAAGGTGTAGTGGTTGTGATGCTGCAGTCAACATCCGACACACACACACACACACACACTGCAACCCGGTTCGGTGTGAACTGGCTAAATCGGGATTTTACCTGGAGAATCCGCGACTGTCCCGTGTTTTATTGTCTAAGGGCTGTGCGCGGCTCCGGCGGGTCTGCTGTAATAAATGAGTCACAGGAGGCAGCTCTGCATAGCGCGTGCACGCACGCGCACACACACAGTAGAATCCAGTCAGTCTCACCTCACACCATCGATCTGCTTTGATTCGCGTCACGTTTCCTCGTCCAGCTGCAGAACCGGACCCGCCAATAGAGCCACCCACCGGACACACCTGTCTAGGTTACAGCGGCTCGGTTTTAGACCTGGTTCGGGTTCATTTAGTCGGTGAGCCTCCGTTTCCCTCTAAAATATTGTAGATCTCAGACCGCGTCCGTGTCTGCTTCCTGCTGGAGGTCTGCTGTTGCTGGAGAGAGAGAGCAGGCTTCCTGTGTGTGACAGGTGTCCAGTATAACCAGTATGGGGTACTAACTGACTTATATACCGGTTATACCGGATAATAAAGACCCACTAACTGGTTTATTTACCCAGAATAACTAATATAACCCCTTTTCCTGCCTACACTGGTGAAATAAGTAGGCATTATCTTATACTTCACCAAACATAGCAATAGTAAAAGTCCCACATTCAAATCTTTACTCAAGTACAACAGCATCAACATCCAAATATGAAGTATTAAGTTGTATTTTTTGTGTGTAGTTCATCCGTTACTGCAGTTCAGAATAAGTGCTTCCATCTGGTTTTGGTGAATTTGTTCTTATAGTTTTTTTAAACATCACTGATGTACTGATGTGGGTACGGTTGTTATTGTCAGCAGTGGTGGAAGGTAATTCAGTACACATACTCATTGATGCATTGAAGTCCAGTTCTGAGGTATCCTGTACTTTACCTGAGTATTTCCATGTTCTGCTACATCATACTTAGACTTCACCACATGTCAGAGACAAACCGTGTACTTGTTACCAGTCTGTGAGGGGGCCGACGGCGAACGATGACGACAGGCCGTGGAGGCAGGCAGAGGAGGAGACGTTAAATCGACCACATGGATTCTGATCTGACCGTTCTGACAGCGCTTGCACTGCCAGAGGTCGGAGAGGAATTGGGTCTAGGAGCACATACGCAGATGACCCAGATCTGATCTGAGGACACCTGGTCTGTTCACACTGCTGTGGACACACCAGGTCTGAGTCACTGGTAAGTGGTCTTATACTTGTGTAGCACTTTTCTATGCATTGCATCACACTTAAAGCGCTTTCACACTATTTGGTCATTCACACACTGGTGACATCACCGGGAGCGGTGTCTTGCTCAAGGACACTTCGACAAGTGGCCTGGCAAAGCCACAAATCAAACTACCAACTTTCTAGTTAGGAGACAGCCTTCTGTACCTCCTGAGTCACAGTTGCCTCAGACTGTGAGGGAAACTTCAGCTGGGATGTGGACGTAGTGGCTCCATGTATCTGTAGCTCGTCTCAGTCTCCACCATTGCCTGTGTGGAGCTTCAAGACAAGGCTGTTCAGCCGGCTCTGATGAACACAAAACAACTGCACAGTGGAGCTATGAATTCACTTAGATAAACCTGGACGTTACCTGGGGGTTCCCACATTTCTTTGTCTCTTTCAGCAGAAACAACAGAACATTTCATTTGTTGACAGTTTTATTGCAAAGAATAATAAATGAATGAGTTCTATTTACACTGAAAGAGACCCTGCAGTGATGACATAACCAACACTTAACTTTACAGTCCATACACCTGTGTGGCCTGTCACCTGCCTGGTGTCCAGGTGTTTCAAGGGAGGGTTGGAGGGATCCTTCTCCACAGACCTCCACACAGACAGTTTTTGATCCAGCGCTGCTCCCACTGCTTCATGGCGTTTGTCTTGTTGGGAGAGCGGAGCATGGTCACGCAACCACACCTGAAAACACACACAAACATCACACCTGAAAAGAAATACACCAACTCACAATTGAGTTTTAATGAGACATGTTCATTTTGACATTTAATGAGCCAAAGTGATTTTATAACAAGAAACCTCTAGTGCGAAACCATAAGGCTGTGATGAAGTCAGGCGTTCTTTTAAAAGCATAAATGTGAGGAAAGGTTCCGGCCCAGATGGTGTGACGGGACTGACAGGACTCTGGACTAACATTTCATATGGTGGCACTGGTGCCACCAAGTATCTCAGATGGTGGCACCCCCTCTTTTACAGCATAATGCAAAATGATCTGTATTTTCCCTTACCATAAAATATGCAAAGTCTGTACAATGACATTCAGAGAAAGGGAGACTTATGGGACACAATAATCATGAAAATCACTTTTAGAACAAGTTTCAAGGTTTTTATGTGGAGTCACTTTGTGCTCTGTAGCTTAGCAATGACACTGATAATAATTAGGCTGTTATTTCAGCTGAACTATGAAATCCACAAATGCCTTGCTGTTTGTGATTTAGCCTATCTGGAGCCTGTTTTCTTCTGAGGAAGTTTCTGCTCTTTGGCGATGTTTGTGTTGGACTTCATGCACAGTTCATCTCTCTAGTCGCAGCTCATTTGGGGCTAACGTTACTAGCAGCCTATGACTTAAGGGATCAAACACTTAAGTCACGTCGCTCATGCCTAGTGCAGTTCCAGTTTGAAGTTAGTAGTGGCTGAAACCCACCATCAGTTCTTCTTCAAGTCCACCTCCGTGCAGTCAGAGTTGCACCAAAGGAAAAACTAAACTTGAAGTGTAAAAAAGGGGTCCAGGGATGATGGGTGTGTTTTGGCGTCAGTGTGGATCGACACATTTGATGGATTGACATCTCTGCCTTGTGAGATGGGTGAGTGACAAACCTGAAGACAAACGTTGCCATGACAGTATCGTGGAGACTGTTACATCTGCCCACCATTTCTACAGCAAGAGCACTCGTTTGTGCATAAGCTGTTTATTTTGCAGTTGTACTCAGTGCGCCCTTTTAAAAGAGTAAGTTGCACCTCAGATAAATTTGGTTGCAAACTGCGGATGATCACTTGCAGTCTGGCACCCTGCGTGTTTATATATGTAAAGAAGCGTAGTGAACAGGGATTAAAACCATGTACAGCACCAAAAGTTATCCTTTTTCTTTGAGAGTTTGATTTTTCCCCCCACGGAGTTGCTTTACTATTTTGTTGTTTTTATATACACAATGACTGATTGATTGTTACAATATGAATGGGTTTTGTAGAAACAATACAGTTTCTCATTTTAACAACAGCAGAATATTTTCAGCACACTGCCGTGGTTATATCTCACATGCACACAGATTCAGGTTTTTATTTGCACACATACAAAAGCATAAAACCAGATGGTGGAAACAAACTGGAGTTCTCAGAAAGTCAAATCACTCTAGGAAGATTCCCACAGCAATGTCCTGTTGCTTTGGAACTTAGCGCTGCACGATTAATCTTTTTGTGAGTATGATTTAGATCCCTGTGTGATCTCAATCTCACGTGACAGTGATTAAAGAGTGTTTACATTGGCAGGGAGATCCCTTGCATCAAACCAAGCGCTCCCTTTCCCTTTTTCTCTCAGGAACTTAGAGCTTAAAGTCCATGTTGTGTCCTGATTCCCCCTGAAGAGCCGGGAGGATCATGAAGAATTCAAGGCTGCGGAGTTTGAAATGCAGCATTAACATGAGGAAACAATGAGCGTGTTCATGAGGCCTGTTTCCAGCTGCTGAGTGTCTGATTTATTTAATCAGAAACTCAGGTTTGATTTCTCTTCTTCACTGACTTTGGTGTCAATGTTTTTAATGTTTAATGTTAATAATGGGAAAGTTGTCCTGCCATGGATGCTATAGTACTTACTGTTTTATGAATGAAGCAGCTGTGGTGTCTGTGTTTGACCAATCAGTGATAGTCAGCTCTGGAACCCTGCCACCCCGCAGAAAGTCCCAGGTCGGCGGAGTGGCAGGGGTCCAAACTGTCTCCCCCGAACTAATCCAAACTGTCTCCCCAGAACTAAATGTAGACCCTGGTTCCTCGGTTCCATCTAACAGATGTAAAAGCTGTGACATCACTTCCAGGTGTGACATGACTTCCTGCAGACTCACCTAGTGCAGGCTTTACTCTCCTCGGTGGGACAGACGCCCATGTGAACACAGCGCAGGTTGTCCATCTTCTGAGAGCCAGGACTCCTGAACACACACACACACACACACACACACACACACGAGTACACTGAGCAAACCCAGACAGGAAGATGTAGAAGAACGCGGACTAAAGCTCTTTTGTTTCCTCTGCTGTATTGCACAACTTATTACTGCACTATTACTAGTACTGTTTCAGATCTTATTCATCTTGATACTGTATGTTTTTCCACTTCATTGTGTGCATTTCATTATATCAATGTCTTGTGTTATCCTGTTTTCTTCTGGTTACCCCTGACATCTTACAGATATGTGGGGCATACTCGCTCTCAGTGTGTCAAATAAAATAAACAAATTAACTAAACTAAATCTGATCCAGGACCAGGATTCCTGCAGCCTGTAGAGCCCCAAACTAGTCCCTCCCATCTGTTATGCTAAAACCATTACATCAGCAGGTTGTGTTCAAACTGAGCCCTCATTGAGTCCAGGTTCAGGTGTGTTACCTGGTGAAGACCTCCAGCGGGGTGGTGCTTCCTCCTCCAGGCAGAGACGAGGCTTTTCCAAACTGTAGCCTGAGTGGCTGTTTTCCCTGTAGCTTCACAATGACGCCATCATTCACCGGGAGCCAGTCCATACTGGGAACCAGTAGCTGACTGGGCAGCAGGCAGCACTCGTCTATCAGGCTCTCATCGGGGTCCTGGGGGGGGCCGTCATCCCGAGCTAAGACACAAAGTTAAGTTAGAGACTAAACTTCCAGGATGTACTTTACATGTCGTTCACTAAGAAGGTTTCAACATGTTGCTGATCAGAAATATCAGACCAAAGACTGGAGAGAAAAGCAGAGGTATACTGGGACTGCTCAGCTTCCTAATACTGTCAGGCACCTGAGACATTTCACTCAAACCAAAAACTGGTTTATTTTCTAAAGATCTCTAAGTACAATTTGTGCATTTTAGCTAAAGTCATTAAAGGGTCTGCAGTGCCACCATTTGAGCTTGCAGAAAACATGGGTTTGTTTGCTCTGCAACACTAAAATTAGTGGTCAAATCATTTGTTTCATTGAACTCATCTGCTCCGGCTTTGTTTTGCTTGATAAATGACAGTACTGTGTTTCAGAAAAGCTGGATTCAGTCAAGGACCTTTGCTCTACAGATCACGAGGCCAGGACCAAGCTGATACAGTGTTCATGATCAATACAACTGGATCAGTATGAGTAGAACTCGTTCAGTCCTCTCAGACTGGACCAGGTCTCAGGCTGGATTGGTTCAGGATCAGGAGCAGTGCGAACATGGAGTCAGGCAGTTTGTTTCTTACAGCAGAGCCACAGT